CAATTACGATAGGCATCTATGGGGGCGGAAACTTATTTAACTCGACTTATAAAAGCTACAAAAAAAAAGTCAATGATAGTTTCAAATTTTAACTTTCCAACTAATGTCAAAAGCATAGTGATTTTAATGAGCATGTCAATGTGCTCCATAAGGAACTACGTAGCACACTGCTGGTGTCTGAAAAGAGCCACCTCATTTATGTGGAGTCCATTTCTATGAGGTGGTTGCATCATGCTCACACACTTTATAAGCATGCTCCTCATGGAGGATGGAGCACAATGTTATGCTCGTTAAAACGTTCGTCCAAAGCATATTAATTATTAAGACATTAGTTTATTTCAAATGTCACTAACTATACCTGGGTAAGTAGCTTTGAATACGATAACAGCTTAATTCCAGTTGCCGAAGGAAGAGAAGGGAGATGTTCGTCTCTTCCTCCTACTACCTATGATAATGAGGGAAGCAAAAGTAATGCTTATTTCAATGATGTTAAGCTAGAAACATGTATAATATGGCAGACCAGAGTAAAAAGGATGCAAACCACATACCACTATGACGCGTACAGAAGGAATCTCCGACAAGAAGCTCAACAACTGAAATTTGTATTATGTATCACAATTTTAAACATTTATTTCAATATGAATATTATCAGTAAATAAAATTCATTGGCCTGTCCAGTATACTCATGCAAGTAGATTTGAAAAAAGCATAATGTTTCTTTTCAGTCATCTTTATTCCTTGTACTAAGTCTGCCCTAGCTTCCCCTGTAGAGCATACTCTGTATATCATAAGAAGTAACTGCATATATGAAACAGTGGGCTCTATTCAAAATATCTGTCAAGCCTGAGAGCCAGATGTATTAGCCCTTTCACCCTGTTCCATCCTTCATCTAAATTCTGAGACTCTTTGCAGCCCATAATATCACATGTCCCAATTGTATTCTATTTTTCGATAATTTCATTGCTGAGAAGAAATAAAAGCTTTCTGATATGAACTCTACAAACCATGGTAACATTCAATTTACAGTTAATTACACTTTGCTGAGAAGAACTAAAAGCTTTTTTATACGAGCTAAACGAACCTTTGTAACATTCAATTTACAATTAATCACAAGAAACTCAATAACTTCATAATATCATATACCTAACAGCATGTGGGGAGGGCCAACAAATTTATAAATAATAATAATACAAAAAATAATAAAGACGAACTCACGGTATTCATGGTATCGGGTACACAAAAGATGGCCTCTATACCAGCATGGTTGGCAATAAACTTAACAGCATCAGGACCTACATTTGTGAATTTCACAATGTTAATGCCCTTTAAAAGACAACATAAGATCTATTCAAATACACAATACACACCCAGAGTGTCATATAAGGGGACTGAGATATATGAATATGCTGAGCAGGCATGGTCCACAATGAGCCATTCTGGCCTATTTATGAAATAAATTCCCACACGAGCTTCCTGGTCAATTAGAAATCCAAAGTCCCAAATAATTATATCTAAGAAAATTAGGGCAATAAGGGTGAGTAAAAACAGAACCAAACATCAAAACAATAAGCGGCTATATTGGGAATTATGCT